AATTTATTTATAATTAATAGTTGATATTTATCTATAATTAATGATAATAACGAATAACTAAATATTAATCAAGGTTATAATTGAAAAAAGTGTAAAAAACWTCTCATAACTTTTTAACAAGTCGTATTTTATTACAAACAACAAACAAGTTAACTAAAAACCGATAAAAAGGATTTTAGTTGGATRGTTTAAAATTCGTGAATGTCACATCCCGGTGTTTATAATCTTTTAATTATTAATCTTCAAAAATGACAAAATATGGACCGAATTCAATAGGGCAAATTGCATGAAAAAGTAATGTACTTTAACTTGATTCCTATTTTAGGTAACGTACTTTCAAAACTTACATTTTGGTACCTAAGGTGTAAAGTTTTAAACATTTAAGTACCTGGGTAACTGGTTGAAGTATTAACCGATTATCATGCTGATGTGGCGAATGATATGGTATCCGACTCGGTATTATTTGCTGACGTGGTCAGTGATGTGGATTTTTTTAAATCTAAAATTAGTCTTTTTTAGTCTAAAATTAGTCTTCACCGGGTTACCCGGATACTTAAATGTTTAAAACCTTACATCTTAGGTACCAAAATGGAAGTTTTGAAAGTATGTTACCCAAAATAGGAATCAAGTTAAAGTACGTTACTTTTTCATACAACTTACCCAATTCAATAATATTTATTTATTTTCCAGTAATACCATCATGAGTTGTATATATACTCATAGCAGCTGCAAATAGCTAACAGCAAGCAAACACATGCAATTAAAGAGAATGAATTATTCAAAGTTGTTTCTCTCCTTTTTCTTTTTCTTTGCCTTCCTCTCTTTTACTTCATCCTTTTCCTCTTTCTCTAACACCACTCATAAATGCTCTCCTAAACAGACTCATGCTTTGCTTCTCTTTAAGCAAAACCTCTTTTCCATCAATGACATATCTTATCATCACGAATGTACACCTTGGCTTGGCTCTGGTTATCATCCAATTATGATCAATGGAACAAAAGCATAGATTGTTGTACATGGAATGGAGTCACTTGTAGCCAATACACGGGTGATGTGATCGCTCTTGACCTTTCCTGTGCCATGCTATGAGGTATCATCCACCCTAACTCCACCCTCTTCAACCTTCCTCACCTCCAATCACTCAACCTTGCTTTCAACGATCTTACCGGTTCCCAACTTCCACATGAAATTGGCATGTTTTCAAATAGTCTTACCCATCTCAACATCTCTGATTGTGGATTAACAGGTAAAATTCCTTCAGGAATCTCACTTCTTTCTAAATTGGTTTCTTTGGATCTCACTTGGAATGATTTGAAGCTTGAACCTCATCTTTTCTACAATCTCCTCCACAACTCTATTTCTTTGGAAGAGCTTTTGCTTAACGACGTTAGTATCTCTTCAATTTTACCCACTTATCTTGATATCTCTTCTTCTATGAAATCACTCCATCTTGGCTTCACCGGTTTGCAAGGTAAATTACCTGATAACATCTTCAATCTTCCGTATTTGGAAGAACTCATCTTGTCATTTAACATTAATATCACCGGTCAATTACCAAAAGTTAACTCAAACACTAGCATCCCTCTTAAGTGGTTAGATCTTGCAAAAACCAACTTATCAGGAGAAATACTCGACTCAATCAGCCATCTCAAGTCTTTGATTCACTTGGATCTCTCAGGCACCATCTTATCATCAAAAGAAATACTCGACTCAATCGGCCATCTCAAGTCTTTGACATACTTGTGTCTCTCTGATTATAGTTTGATGAGTCCCCTTCCCAAATCCCTAGTTAATCTTAGGCACCTTACTAGTCTATATCTATCACATAACAAGCTTAATGGAACGTTGCCTTCTTGGTTGTTTACCATTCCCTCACTAGAAGCTATCACTCTCTCCAACAACATGTTCAGCGGGAGCTTACCAACAGAATTGTTCAACCATCAATCATTAAAGCGGTTATCACTCAGAAACAATCATTTCGATGGCATGATAGATGTGCTTGATCAAGGATCCATTCAACAAACATTTCAGCAACTCCTGAACCTCACTTATCTTGACCTCTCACATAATAAATTTAGGGGTGTATGGGAGTTGGATACTTTATTATCAAGCCTTAGGACCCTTGAATATCTCTTTCTCTCGTATAGTGGTTTATCTGTTATAACCAATAATGYCRGTCGCTATGTCAATCCTAATGTTCAAGGCATGTGGTTAGCATCTTGCAAGATAAAGGTGTTTCCAGAGTCGTTACGAGCCATGAGAAAACTTCAAGTTTTAGATCTATCGAGAAATGAAATCGATGGCCACATTAGGGAGCTAGGAGGAAATGAACTACTTTACTTGGATCTCTCGCATAACATCATAACARGGCCATTCCCTCCATCAATTTGGAACATGGACAATCTACGATATTTTGAATCTGTCCAATAATCGCTTTAGTGGAGTGATTAAACCTGAAGATATGAACTTCTCTCCTTTGGTTATAGATATGGGGAATAATAACTTTAATGGCACCATTCCACATGTATGTGGTGGAGAATTAAGAGGGCTTATTTTGAATGGAAATCAATTTGAAGGTAAGGTGCCAAGTTGCTTTTCCAAATGCCCAAAATTGGAAGTGCTTGATCTAGGAAACAACCGCTTAACTGGTGCATTCCCTGACCAGTTAGGACGTCTTCCAAATCTGAAGGTTCTTGTCCTCAGACCAAACAAGTTTCATGGTCCCATAGAAAGAAGCTCTTCTATGATCGAACACCCATTTCCTAGTTTGAGAGTTCTTGACTTATCTCAAAATGAGTTTGGAGGCCATCTCCCTGGAAAATATTTTCAAAATTTTGATGCTATGAAGAATGTGGTCAAGGATGGCAAAAATGCGTATTTGAATCTTTACTACTCTAACATCTTTTACTCTATCATTGTTGTGGTGAAGGATCATCAACTCTCATTTGAAAAAATGTCAAACGACTACACGATTGTTGATCTATCCAGTAACAAATTTGAAGGAGAGATCCCAAACGAAATATGCACTCTTAACTCGTTGATAGTGCTCAACTTATCCAACAACCACCTCAATGGTCAGATCCTATAGGCTATAGGTAATCTCTCTGAGATTGAATCATTAGACCTATCCCATAACCAACTATCAAGAAAGATTCCTCAAAGTCTAGCAGACATCACGAATCTTGAAGTCTTAAATCTCTCACAGAACCTTCTGGTGGGACGTATTCCTGGTCGAACACAGTTGAGCACATTCAACACTTCATTCGAAGGGAATCCGGGACTATGTGGGTTTCCACTGCCCAAGGAGTGTGAACATGCRAGTGCCCCACAACTTGAAGTTGATGGAGAAGAGAGGAGTGTATTTACATGGAAAGTGGTGATGTTGGGATATGGATGTGGACCCTAGTTGGATTGTTATTGGGATATTTCATGTTATCAACAGGAAGGCCAAAGTGGTTCAATGCAATTGCTGATGAAATAGAGCATGTGATCCAGAGAAGGCAAAACAAGAGAAGATATATCATACATATTGGGAAATGAGATTAGGTACGTGTTTCCCATGCATGCTTTCTTTTCTATAAATGTCAACAAAATTAATGCTTGTTATTTTTCTTTTTTTGAAATTTTAGTTATGATGCAGGTTGGGATAGAGCTATGTTGAATTATCCTACATAGGCATGTTTGGAATCATGTTGTTATTAAAGCTTAGAAATAATTCGTTAGTTAGTTTATGTCCTTGTGTCGTACGTTGGTCATAAACTCATATTTGTATAACATTAATATTTACTTTGAAGACAGATAATATATGTATCAAATAAATAATTTAAGACCTCGGATACATTTTTTAATCATTCACTCTTCGGTTTTGTATTTAAGTAGCTATGTTTCGTGTCTCTTTAAGTAGCTATTTAAGTAGCTACGTTTCGTGTCTCTTTATAAGAGTATGTAGATAGCAACAGTAAGTGTTTTTATCTATCGTCAATGGTAGGGGAAACAACGTGATAGGCGATTTGGAGAATAGACAAACGATGGAGGGACGAGGAGTGGCGAGGGGGAGTGATTTAGTGTTTGGGGTTTGAATGTCATAAGGTATGAGAACAGTATAATTGTTTTGGGTTCATTTTAAAACCTTCCTAGTCAGTTACAGATAGCTTTGTTTTGGGTTAAAATGATGTAAGCACTAATCTAACGAC